GGTGAACGTACCTAATACTCCTCCCTCCTCCTATTTTCCCCACAACAACAACCCTGTGAGGTGAGTTGAGCTGAGAGAGAATGACTGGCCCAAAGTCACCCAGTCAGCTTTCATGCCTAAGGTGGGACTAGAACTCACAGTGTCCTGGATTCTAGTCTGGTACCTTAACCACTAGACCAAACTGGCTCTCTATTTCTATAACCCTTTGAAATGCGTAATTTTTTTGTGAGCATCTTGAATTTTCTCAGCATTGTCTTGATAGTTAAAAATGCAATATTAAATTGTGAATAAAAACTTTAGGTCTTTCCCTGATGCTTTCCCTGATGGGGACTGGTAGCTGGGACAGCAAATTTTATGACACTCAAGATGGGTACTATCCATGCATCTTGAGTGTCATAAAATTTGCTGTCCCAGCTACCAGTCCCCATCCTGCCTGTGTTGCCTGTTTCCAGTTACTTCAGTCTTTTGACTTTCTTCCATGGTAATGGGTAATAAAGCCTAACAGATTTTGTACAACTTGAGGCTGTCCTTGGATGTGGTTGAAATAAGGAGGAAGTACCACTATAATACTGGTACAGCTAAGGATGACTTAAGGCTGTCCACAGAATCTGAACACTGTCTCTCCCAGTGGAGCTGGCAGGAACCCAACATGCACCCACAATGCACCTTCAGTGCACCCAAAGCAAGTGCTGATTCATACTATGCACTAGAGCAAGAGATGTGATTGGCAATTTGCTGCTGAACCCTGGCTGATGTTAGCCACTTCATACAAGGCCATCACCAATTGACATGCTGACTGCTTTATAAATTTTTTGGTAATACTTTTGGATGTGCCGTTGATGACATATGTCAAGTAGGCAACTCATCAACTTTTCAAAGTATTCATCAACCACTCAAAAAATAAGTAAAAAAAAAAGAATGAGACTGTGGTCAGGAAAAACAAGAATGGATAGTGGGTGCAATGTTCAGAGACTAGAGAGAAGGGGGAGGTCCAGGACCCCAGTGATAGAGCCAGTAGGCATCTTGTCATGGCAAGTTGTCTCCCCTCTTCTCATCAATGCACCCTACATTGTCTGCATGGAGTGACTCAAGAAATGATATAATGGAAAACATCACTTGAGTAGCTAAGCACCTACACATGTCCTCTGGCTAATCTCAAGATACAGGGACATGCAGAAACTTGCTCAGAGAAGAGTTGCTAGGGCATTCTCATGCTAGAGCAAGGAAGCTCTGTGGATGTGTCTTTACTCATGACTGGGATCAAGATGAAAGCATTTCCGTAGGGACAAAGCAGAATGAAGATGCTGAGGGAGCATAATTTTTGTTTTGTAATTAGGCCAGTGGGGAAAGGCCCTTAATACATATAATGGTTTGGGTAATTGTATGCACAACTTAAAAAAAAATCTGGTGATATATAAATATAGTAGAGGTTGGATAGGCTTCCTGTTCAGTTTGGAATAATGGAATACACACCAGCCAAAGAGGTAAAGTGATTGGATGAGTAGTTGTTTGGATTGCTCCATCATCTGGTTCCCACAGCAGCTTTTGATATGTGTGTCCCATTTCCCTTCCCCCACCCCCGAACCTTTACTGGCAAGCATATAGAGGAGGAAAGTAGATGACCTTCGGCATGTTTATTGACACTCCCAGAGTTCATACTGCAACTCTACAATCTTTCTCTGAGATTATTAAAAATTAATTGATTGCTTTTATATCCCCCTATGGTGCCCGACACTGCCATGAGAGGGGCCAAGGGGAGGAGGGCATTGCAGGCACAGCAAACAAACTGATAAATGTTAATTACTCTTTTATGGCCCTTGTCAAATTCCAAAGCAAGTCATAAATTCATTAAACTCTAACGGATTAAGCACATGCAGCTTATTTAACCACCATAAACAAGATCATTTGGATGTTGGTTTTACCCTTTTTATTGCTTCAGCAGCAAAAATGGAGAAAGAGTAGACTTGGGAGCTCCTGATGGGTCTGAAAAGTTGTAGGTGGTTAATATTTAGTTGCTGCTGCCTCTTATTATTATGGCTTGCAATATATGGAATTATTTTCTTTTTGCGTGTTTTTAACCGTATGCATCCTGAATGAGACAAGCTGAATTGCTGATGCCCTCTGTACAATATTGTACTGATCTCCCCATAGGAAAAAATTGCATTGGTGAAAAAACACTTCAAGTTCTTTGATACTCAAAAGCTTTCCAGTTTCTTGGGAAATAAAAATGGGCCCAGCACAAAACAATAAATAATTTCTTTTGTATCTTCCCCATCATTACAGAGGTTATAATATCAATCTTATATTATGACAATGCTGGTAAAACAGGTTCTTTCCAAAGCTATGGGACAGTTTCTGTCTGAATGAGCTGTTTGCAGAGATATGACACTGAAAGTGATTAATAGTCAAGATCTCAAGTTTTGGGCATCTGTGCTAGCAACTTTTCCCTTTATTTCATATTCATGTGAGTGGCAAAGCAAATGAGGAAACTGTAGTTAATTATAGTTTACTGTCCAACTTGGGAGACTATGCTAATGGCTACTGGCAAGGACAATCAAATAGCCAGCAATAGGTCATTGGAACGTAAAGTAAGTTGCTTTATATGCCATTATGGAACCAATGGGGAAGAACTCAGTACAAATTCCACCTTGAAACAGCTGCATTGTCATCTTTCAAAATGTCTATCTCGCTCTGCTCTGAACTGGCTCAGAATCGGTAGGTGAATTATGGAACTGAAATTGGATCAAGCTTTAACTGATACACTTAATTGTAAGAGCCATATGTGTATCTAGTCAGCTTGCCACACTATAGAAGACTGTGTGAAAAACCCCCCAGATATTAGTGTCCCAAAGTACTAGCTTGGAACATCATTATGGTGATTAAGTATTTGGTCCTGCCAACCAGGACTGACTATTTTGTATAGGAAGTTACTCCTGGATAGGAAATTCTCTAAAAAGCTTCCTGTTTGGGCTGAGACCTAGCCTGAGCAACTAATCTTCCCTGGCTTTGGTGGGCTTTTTCTTTGTGTTTCTTGGCTATGGTTCCCTGGCTCAGCTCCGTGCTCGGCTAGCCTCAGACAACTGCCTATGGTGCAACCTTGAGAGTGTGAAAATTCCTGGTCTTCTTTGGCAGATTGTTGTCATTAGCACAGAATATGTACAGGAAAAAAGACACATATTTACCATTATTTTATTGTTCTGATATATCACTGCAATATAGAAGTATTTATTTAGTTGTTTCTCCTAAATGGGAAACAGTGGCAAAAATATCCTCCTTAGAAGAAATTAAAATCTTTTTTCTTTTTACTGAATTCTGTCTGTTTTTAAAAAACAGTGAACTACTCCCTACATCTCTGATATGCTACCCTTGCCTAA